AATACGAATTTACAAATACTTTTAATATTAATGACATTATAAATATTTTATATTTAAATTATCTATTACGTAACCGATTTATATTGTGTGTACCTTTTTTATATTTATTTCTATTTTTATTTTCAATTAGTTTAAATATTATGTGAATTTTATGCTGAGAATGACTTGATGAAAGTTGAAATGTTTGTATAATTTAATGTTTATATCGACTGATAAATATTAAAGATAGATTAATCATTAGCACTTAACAACTAACTTTGATCCATAGTCTTTTCTTTCTGGCAATTTTTATTTTTAAAAAATTTTTGAGTTAGAATATTTTAATTATTTTTTTAAGAATTACTAATGTTAAGAAAGAATATATAAAAATATTAAATACATAAGAAAATTATTTTTTATAAATTGATTAGTTTCTCTTTTTACTGTATTAATTTGTAAATAAAGTTGATTATATATTTACCTTCACTGTTGGATAGATACCTATTCTTTCTGCATAATTATACATCTGTTTCGCTAGATTCTCGTTCATATAAATTAATGTTGAAACTAGTGCGCGACACGTTGTGGTACTTAATGCAAAAGTATATTTAAGCACTAGGTTGGCCATCTCTATGATTAAATTCGAATCTTTTTTTGACAAAGATAACATTATTAATTTGTCCACATAACGAGATAAATCTAAAAACGATAAAGATAAATTTTGTTAAATATTATTAAGAGTACAATATAGTTTAGAATTTTTATATATGTTTTTAAGAATGCAATACAATTAAAATTAATTTATGATATAAATATATAATCACAAGAACATGGCTGTAAAATTTTACTTTACCTACTGGATAATACTGACTGCTTTGATCTTTAAATAAAAATTGAAAAAGAAAGAAAGCATACTCAACAAATTCATTACAAAATGAATCCAATAACATGTACATTATTTTGGTTCGTACATGTTCATCATTAACGGTGCTTTTAACAAACCACTTATCACGGCTAGTACGTAAAATATTTTTGTCTGAAAAATTAATACAAATAAATAATATATATTAATATTATA